GTCTCCTCTGGGGGCCCAGTCTGGCCGTGGATCCGGCCGCTGCTCCCAGACGTAAGCCTCGCGTGGGGTCGTATCCACGACGTCGCTTGGACACGCGGCCGGCTGCTCGGGGCTGCGGGAGACAGAGCCCCCCTACCTCCGCCCTGGGCCTCAGGAGAGGCCGACCTCCAGAAATAAACGTGGAGCATTTTGCAAGCCCCGGCTCTGTGTGGTGTTAAAGCTTGTCCATGGGCCCAGGGGAGGGAGGGGAGGGGAGGAGGCCCCCACGTCTATCCACCCACTGACCACCCACCCACTGACCACGTCCGGCACCAGAAGGCCCCCTGGGGGGGGAAATTTCTAGGGGAGGGTTCCATCTCCTCCCCACAAAGCTTCCGGACCCTCCCACCACATGGATGCAAGCTGGGTGTGTGCATGTGCATACCCATGAGTGTGTGCATACCCGTGTGAGCATGTACATGCATACACGTGTGTCCATAACCACGTGAGCATGTGCAGATAATATGTACGCATGTGTTGTGCATTCATAGCCGTGTGTGTGTGTGCCCACGTGCGTGCACCTGCAGGCACTCTGAGACCAATCCCCCGCAGAGGGCGGACGTGCCCTGATCAGTGAAGGTCCTGCCGCGCCCCCCCATCAGCCAGCAGGCCTCAGCCTCGCCCTGAGCACCCACATTCCCAAAGCCTGGCCCCTCCCTGGGCGGCTCCAGGGGAGCGTGCAGACCCCCCATCCACACGCTCGCCAAAGGCTGCACGGGGGGCGGGGGGGCTGTTGGAGGCTGAGTGTGGGGACAGGGAAGCTGAGGTCAGCCCCAGACACAGGCTGGTCCCACGCAGGAACCCTGGGGGGTCCCAAGTGTGGGGAGGGGTCACCCAGAGCAGACCAACCGACAGGACCAGGCACCAGCCAGCTGATGGTGCTGGGGGTGCTGAGGGGTCGTGGCTCCGGGCTGGCCACTGGCCGACAGGACTGGGGGCCCGCAGGCTGGACAGTTGGGCCGCCAGGGGCCACCCTCAGGCTCAGGGTCCTGTGGACACCGGGCAGGGGGCTGAGGAGCCTGGCGAGGATTCAGGGCGGAGGGTGAGGCCTAAGCACCGTCCTCTGGGACAGCAAGGGGCTCCTCCCCTGGTCTCACAAAGGGAAACAGGCCGGGCGCTGCCTGCTGGGGGTCCGCAGCCCGGGCGCAGGAAGCTGGTGCCGTGGCCCCCAGCTGGTGGGCAGTGTCCCAGCCCCGTCCTGGAACTAGATGCCCAAGGCTCTGTCCCCCAAATCACGCCGCCTCACCTGCAAGAACTGGGTTGAGTCGGGGGCGGAGGTGGGACTGGGGCCACGGCACCAACCCTCCATCTCCGGGATTTAGTCGCCACGGGGCCAGCACGTGGCCCACGCCTCCAGCTCAGGCCTGGGCGGCGGGAGCTGAGTCAGGGGTCCCAGGAGTC